CACATGGCATATTTCCCGATGTTGCTAACCAACAGGTGGTGAGCCCACCTAACGGGGTTCTCGAGATTATTAAGGCCAAGTCATTACTATTCTGAGAATTCCATGAGTTTCATTTTCTAGGACAGTGGCTACTAGGTGGAAAATATGCTAAGACCCGAATTACTATCTTTATTTCCCCTTCACTCTAATTTTAACCAGAGGTCATTCTCATTAAAAAGCCTCTGGGGTCTTTGATAAATGTAAGTTGTACACTCGCTGAGAGCTCCTTGGCCCCTTCCTGTGGCTGCAGGCATGCCAGTCATCCAGCTGCTCCCAATTAACATTCCATCCGCTTCCCTGTCAGTGCGGGTTAGGCTTGATTGAGTCACAGGTACGTTCTGCTTGGCAGCATTTTTATCTCACGGCGTGCTTACCATAGGCGAGTTAGAATCTTTATTGAAGTTGCACTCAAAAACAAAAACATTTATTGAGCACTCATTATATGAAAGGCACTATAAGTTTGACCTCATTCCAATGACATAGACTCCTTGTTCTAATCAGTGTTGGCTAAACTAATTTTTATAAAAGAGATTATTAAACAATTGTTCTAGGTAAGACCAAGAATAATCTTTTGGCCCTTGTTGGGAAAGCACATGAATGAGAGAAAGAAAAGGGGGAGGAAAGGAACGAAGGGGAAAGAAATAAAACAAAGAAAGAAAAGAAACATAACAATAAAGAGGCAAGAATGTAAAAAGAAATAAAAAGGCCAAGGACAAGTGAAAAAAAATAGAATGACAAAAAATGGAATAGTGAAAATGAATAAAAACAAGAAAGTCAACAGAGTAGACAGAGAGGGACAGAGAGGGGAAAAGTAAAAAGAAAAAAATCAATAATGAAAGGAAGCAAACTATTTCTATTTCTTTCAATATGCTGAATTAAATAGCCAGCAATTTTCTCCTAGTACAGTCCACTTCAAAATATCAGATAAAAGGCATATGTTATGTATGTTTTATATACAGTAGGAGGTCTTTACAGATGTACAGCCAACTAATGACCCACAAAAACTCTGATCTTATTCCCTCAAACCCAGTTAGAGTATCTTTCAATTCCAGTGAGTAAGCAATCCCTCGAGTCATTAAATAAATAGTTTATGTGGCAAGAAAGTTAGGAAAATCCTCAGAGGCCCCAAATCACAAGAAAGCATGAATTGAGAGGGTGAGCCAGCACTGAAGTCAAAGGTTGCAGTAAAAATATTTGTCAGTCCCTGGCAGCCTATGGGAAAAAGGGGCACAGGAGAAGCAGCACAGCGCCCACGCAGGGAGAGTCAGGTCAGATCCCCCACATAAAGCAAGACCCCTGCAGGGCAACACTCTTAGTGGGCAAAATGGAAAACAAAGAAACAAAAGCCCCATTGAAAGAAATTTGCCTATCTCAGACTTGCCTCAGAGAGAGGAAATAAAATTTCTCTCCTGAAATTTCTAAAATCATAGCATGGAGTTAAATTTCTATTGGGTTCAAAAAACTTTTCTTTTTTCTTTTTTGGTTAATCCTCGCCCGAGGATATTTCCCCACTGATTTTTAGAGAGAGAGAAAAGGAGAGGAAGAGACGGAGAGAAACATCCATGTGACAGAGACACATCGACTGGTTGCCTCCTGCACAGCACCCTGACCAGGCTCATGCCCTTGACCCAATTAAACCCAGAACCCTTCAATCCATGGGTTGACGCTCTATCCACGGAGCCAAATCGGCTAAGGCCAAAATCTTTTTTTTTTTTTTCATTTGAAGGATTCTCCGGTTGTAAAGGCCCTATACATGCTGCAGAAGCAAACACAGTTTTTTGCTGGTAACACGCTTTAATTAAACCAGGATTCAGTGAATTTCAAGAATAAAGTTTCAAAGCACTTGAGTTCCCCTTAAAAAAATGTCACCAAACTTGATGAAAGAATATACTTTAGAATTATACCTACAAAAACTGGATATGTTAGAATAATTTTTAAAAATAAATATAAAGTATCTTTGCTTAAAATTCTTTAAAACTATCAAAAATATGTCAAGGAATGAGAGTTTATCAAAAATAGCAAGAAATCATTTCTTGAAAAGCACATAAAATGTTTAGAAATTAAAATTAGAAATTCAATGACAGATGAAACAGCAGATCAGATGCAGCTGAAAAGAGACTTTGCAAAGTGAATAATAGGACTAAAGAAATAACTACAATGCAAGTCAATAGATACAGACATAAAAATTGTGAAATAGAACATGGATTGAGAAGTTTGAACTACAGTTAATCAGAGTCCTACTGAAGGAGGTAATAGGGAGAGGCAATATTTTGAAGAGATTATAGCTGAGATTTTTCCAGAATCTATTAAACTCATGAATCTTCAGATCCAGGAACTATAGTGAACCCCAAGCAAAATAGATACAGACAAATCTTCACTAGACATATTGTAATGAGACAGTAAAACATCAAGTTAAAAAGATGGTGATCTTAAAAGTACACTACACTTCCCCACAAGCAACCCCCTAAAAAGAGCAGCCAAGGAGTAAACCAACAGATTATTTTCAAGGAAACATCAATTAGACAAAAGCTGATTTCTCACCAACAAGAAAAGCATGACAATGGGATAATGTCTCAAAGCACTGAATGAAATTGTCAATTTATAAATCTGTACCAGCAATGTTGTCTATTAACATTGAAGTAAAAAATAAATTTTTTAAAAATTTTCAGACAAACTAAAAGAATTACTTCCAATATTTACCACAGGAACTTCTACAGCAAAAAAGAAAATAGTCTCAAAAGGAAAGTCTGAAATATAAGAGGAAATACTAGTGAGAAAAATAATAAGAATTTGGATAAATCTCAACAAACAATAACTGCATAAAACAAAAATGATATATAACTTGTGGGATTACTTTTTAAGTGAACTAAAATTCTGCACAACAAAAGCATAAAATATAAATGCTGAAAGTAGAAGGATAAAAATGATATACCAGTCAAATACTAATGAAAAAAAATCTGGTATTGTTATATTAACTTTAAATGGAAGGTGAACACTTTACCAAAGATAATGAAGGCCACTAGGTAGATTTTTTTTTAAGTTTTAGTAAACCAAGAAGGAATATTAATTCTAAATGTATGTGAACATAAGACAGCTTCAAAAATATATAAAAAAATTTTGAGACCACCACGAGGACATACTGATGAATTCACTGTCTTTGTGAGAGACTTCACATACCTCTTAAAATAACTGACAGATTGAGTGAACAAGAAATTGTAAGGACATAGAAAATTTAAACAAACACATTTGTCAAGCTTAATCAAATGACCTCATATAAAACAGGGGCCTCCAAAATAGATAACATCATTATTTTAAAACACACAAGGAACATTTGAAAGGAAATGGGAAGATACTGAGTATAACTCAACGCTGACAGAAAAAGTAAAGAAATCATTGACTCCTCTTCCTGGGTCCTAATCCTTACTTAAATAGTAACCTGTAGCCATTCTCAGAAAGAATGGAACTCCTTCATAGAATCTCAGGGTGGAGGCACTTCAGAGTTGCGTACTCCAACCCTATGCCTAGTTGAAAAGTCTCGACAACCTTCCCTAAAGCCTTAACCTAGCTTCTGTTTAAATGTATCCCTGATGCCCGGCCAGCATGGCTCAGTGGCTGAGAGTCGACTGACCTATAACCAGGTCAAGGTTTAATTCTCGGTCAGGGCACATGCCTGGGTTGCAGGCTCAATCCTCAGTGAGGGGTGTGCAGGAGGCAGCCGATCAATGATTCTCTCTCATCATTGATGTTTCTGTCTATCTCTCCCCTCTTCCTTCCTCTCTGAAATCAATAAAAAAAAATATTTAAAAAAATAAAATAAAATGAATAAATAAATGTATCCATGATGGGGAACTGTGGTGTGCCTGCCTTTAACCAGTTACCATGCCCGCAAGCAAGTCATTTTTTCACAGCAGCAATTCAACTATACCTCTGAGATAACTAGTAATTATCTTAGAGTCTGTCATAGGATGAGTCTGGTAATGATGTAAAAAATTCTACCCAGAATCCAAATGTTATACCTAGGTGACAGGGCTTACTGAAAACAATTTTATAACCAGGCAAGGCAATTATGTGGAGTGTCAGAACAATGTGGTTAGGCTTTGTAAGCCCTATTCAGAGCTTCCTACAACCTGGACTAGCAAAATACATACACATCTCCCATTAAGAGTTTTAAAATTTGTAATAAAAAATATATATAATAAAATCCTGCTCCATCTTTCCCTACTTCCAATTCTTGTCCTCCAGTGGCAATAACTTTCAATTTCTTTGTCTGTGTTTTCTAGAATTTATTTCAAAATTCTTAATAATGTGTTATGTTAATTTTTCTTAAATTTTTCAATTTTATGTTTTATTTCCACTATCTATATATAGAAAAGCCTAAGCGACTGAACAACCGGTGGACCGGTCACTATGACGTGCACTGACCACCAGGGAGCAGACGCACAAAGCAGAAGCTGCCCCCTGGTGGTCAGTGCGCTCCCCCAGCCAATCTCCTGCAGCCAGCCAACCTCCTGCAGCTGTCCAACCTCCCCAGCTGGCCAGCCCCGATTGGCCCCAATCGCCAGCCTGGCCAAGGGACCCCACCCGTGCACAAATTCATGCACCTGGCGTCTAGTATAAAATAAAAATTTAACTCTTACATACCCTGCTTGCATATATATATCCCTGATAATCTCAATATAGCTTTTTACTCTTTTTGCTTAAATCAGTGTAAAGTACTTACATTATTATAATAAAATTAATATTATTCAGGAATGAGCCTATAGTATACAATGATAAGGTTTCTTTCCATGGGCAACTTTTTTTTCTAGAGGAAATACTGCCTTTTTATTTCCTCAACTTTTTATATACTTATCTCTTATTATTTCACCCACAATTCTTCAACTGAACTAAAAATATTCTCTCAAGTTCAAACTCTATAAGGTATTCTATAAGTTTCCTTTTTCTTTAAGAACTCACTCTCTTGGGTATCTCCATCCTTCTGATTGCACTGTATATCTGTTGTACTGTTAGGACTTCTCTTCACAGTCATCCTGGGAATTTCCTTCCTTTTCCACTGTGTTCCATTGGATCCTTGTTCCCTGGATCCTATGTTTTCCACATTTCTTTGTTTGTCACCTTGTTTTGGCAATGCACATCCCATAATTGTCTCCTAAAAAATGAGTAAATTTTAAAAGATATTGCAATGTACATTTTATTGACAGGGTGAGTTTTGAATTGTGAACTGAAAATCTTTCTCATCAGAATTTTAAAGGCACTGACTTCTAATTTTGTCAATTGCCATAGAGAAGTCTCATGCTCTCTGATTATTGATTCTTATTCTGTGACCTCTTTTTCAAAAATATGTTTTTATTGTTTTTTAGATAGAGAGGAAGGGAGAGGCAGAGAGAGAGAAACTTTGATCAGCTGCCTCCTGCATACCCACCACTGGGATTGAGCCCACAACCTGGGCATGTGTCCTGACTGGGAATTAAATAGGAGACCTCTTGGTCTATGGGACGGTGCTCAATCTACTGAGCCACACGGGCCAGGTTCTATGACCTCTTTTCATGTGAGCATTTATGTGAAAATTCAAAAACAATGTATGTCAAATAATAGATGTTATTAATTTTTGTATCTTTATATAATTTAGCCATTAGAAATTATATTTTAGAAAAATATTTAATGTCTTAATAAAATAACCAAAATAGAAAAGATAACATATTAATGTTTTAAAACACTGAAAGATAACTCAACAAAGTATTAAAAGTGGCACTGCTGTATGATACAATTTTGAGTTCCCTTTTTTAGTAACTTCTTGTTATAGACTAATGTATGGTTGTGTCCCTTGACCCCAAATTCAAAATTGAAGCCCTAAGCTCACAATGAGATTATTTTTGTAGCTGGAGTCTTGGGAGGTAATTAGGTGTAGATGAGGTCTTGGGGGTGCAGCTCCCATGATAGAATTAGTGTCCTTATAAGAAGAGGTAAAGACACTAGAGCACTCTTTCTCTCTCAAGGCCATGAGAACATGAGAGAAGGCAGCTTTCTGCAAACCAAGAAAGGGATTCTCACCAGGATCCAAATATGCCAGCACCTTAATCTTGACTTCCCAGTCTCCAGACTGTGAGAAATAAATGTCTCTTGTTTAAGCCACCTTGATATAGCAACTGAAGCTGACTAAGACACTTCTATACTAAATAAGTGTATGGGACCTGTTTTTTTAATATATATATAGTTGGGTTTATAAAAGTGTCCTAATGCCATGTTAAAAATCCTCTTTCAACCAGTAATAAATATCATTATTACTCTGGAAAAATCAATAAAGGAGCATATTAATATAAATATTTACAATTATAATTTTAATCTATTTCCAACATCTTATAATAAACATTTTCAACACATAGCAAAGTTGAAAAAAATTGTCAGTAAACAACTGTATTCCTAATGCCTGGATTATAGCAATAACATTTTGCTATATGTGTTTTATCACATATCTATCCATCTATCCATTCCTCTAGCCATACATTAATCTCTCTTACTTTTTATGTATTTCAAAATGAATGTTTCAGTATGCATATTATTAACTCGAGTTCAATATTATTTGTAGTAATTTTCTTTAGAGGTAATTTTTATATAAAGTAAAATGTACAAATATGAAATATAAATTCACTGAGTTTTGGTAAATGCATATATCTGTGTAACTCAAACTGCTATCAAGATATATAACTGTATGACTCCATGTAAAATGTAAAACCCTTTCAACCATATAGGTCCACTTATCAGCCACCTCCAGCCTTAATGCTATAATTCTCATATGTATTACATCAATATACATTATAAACTCATGAGACAATGTTACAAGTGTTCCTTTAAACTGTCACATATTTTAAAGAAATTAAGAGAAAAGTAATATTTTATTTTTACTAGTTCAGATGCTCTTTCTTCCTTTTTCCCTACTTCTCTCCCCCTCTCTCTCTCTTCCTTCTTTCTGAAGAACCAGGTTTCCATCTGGCCTTATTTTCCGTCAGCCTGAACTTCATTTAACATATCTTTAGTGTAGTTCTGTTTAAAACAAGTTCTCTGAATTTTCTGTTATCTGAAAATATCTTTATTTGCCTTCATTTCTTAAACAATATTTTTGTTGATATAAAAATTTTAATATAGTTTTGGGCAAACAGGTTTTTTTCTCTCTTTCTTATAGTTCTTTAAAGATGTTGGGTAGCTGTCTTCTCTCTTCATTGTTTCTGAGAATTTTTAATACCAAAGTATTAAAAGTGGCACTGCTGTATAAAATTTGAACTCAAATTATTGTACCCTTATATGTAATGCATTGCTTTTTTTTTCCTGGTTGCTATCTAGATTTACTCTTTATTCTTAATTTTAAGCAGTTTGACTATACTCTGATTTGGGGTTTGCTAAGCTTTTATAAACCGTAAACTTACAATTTACACAAAATTGGGGTATTTTGGCCATTATTTCTTAAAATGTTTCTTTGTGTTGCATTTGCTTTTTCTTCTTACTTCTGAGCCTCCAATTATACATATGTTAAGTGTTTTGATATTGTACCACAAATCCATGAGGTACTATTTCTTTATTTGTAAAGTGTTTTTGCTCACTGTACTTTGGATTAGATAATTCTGTTGATTTATCTTCAAGTTCAGTGCTTCTTTCTCTGTCATCTCCTTTCAGCTCTTAAATGGTTCTTTCCTCTGTCTCCTCCTTTCTGTTGTTAAATTTTATATTTCATGTAATTTAATTTTTAGTTCAAGAATTTGTTTGGTTCTTTTCATGGTTTATTTTCTTGCTGAAATTTCCTGTCTTTTCATTTATTTTAATCATATTTTCCTTTACATAATTGTGCATAGTTATAATAACTGCTTTAAAATCCTTTGACTGATAATTACAAAAGCTGGGTCATATCAGGTTTCATCTTTTTTGATTGTCATTCTTCTCAAGAATAGATTTTTTTTTTGTTTCTATTATGTTAAATAAATTTGAATTGTATCCTTGATATTGTGAACCTTATCTAGGGAGACTCTGGAATACGTTACATTCCTCTGAAGAATATTACTTTTTGTTTTGTTTTTTTGTTGTTGTTGTTTTGGTTTGGTTTAGCAGATAAGTAACTTAGCTGAATTTAAACTGCAAGTTTTTGTCTCTTGGGCACTAGCCCAAATCTGTTATTTTATCCTGAGCTAAGCTACTTAAAATCTGACCCACCCATAAGGAGTTCAGGGATCAGTACAAGTTTTAGCAAAAATTTGTACACAGAATTTTTGGTTCCTCTCTTAGGATTTGTCATTGCCAGAATTCCTCCCTCACTTCCCAGGGGCCATGATTGCCTTAAGCTCTGCTCTCTGATCCTTCAGGCCAGAAAGACTATTGGTTTTCACAGGTATTTTAGCTGCGCCATGTATTCAACTGTAAAAAAAAACAAAACAAAGAAAACTCACCCTTAACCATTTCCCTCTTCCAAACCAATCCTCTCCATAATCTGTTTAACTTTGTTCAGCCTCCATTGCTTCCAGGAAGTCTTTGTTTGTTCGTTTTCCTGTTGTTTATAGTTGTTATCTCTGGGAGGACCATTCTAAAAGTAATCAGAGTTACTTTTATAATTAAGAAAATTATTTTTTATTATATTAATATCCTATATAATAAAACCCTATTATGCAAATTGACCAAATGGTGGAATGACCAGCTGAACGACCTGTCACTATGGCATGCACTGACCACCAGGGGGCAGATGCTCAATGTAGGAGCTTCCCCCTGGTGGTCAGTGTGCTCCCACAGGGGGAGCACCGCTCAGCCAGAAGCCGGGCTCACAGCTGGCGAGCGCAGTGGCAGTAAGGAGCAAGGGGTCCTGGACTGAGAGAGCCCCAACTGCAAGAGAAATGTCTGACTGCCGGCTTAGGCCCAATACCCCTGGGGGGATCGGGCCTAAGCCAGCAGACGGACATCCCCCAAGGGGTCCCCAACTGCAAGAGGGTGCAGGCCGGGCTGAGAGACCTCCCCAGTCCTCGATTTTCATGCACCAGGCCTATAGTTGTATCATAAGCAAAAACTTTCCGTTCCAAAAAAAAGGAAAAAACTTTACATTTATATAGAGAGCAATGGGAAGTAGACTTTGGAGAATGATAGTAAAAGTTTTAGGAGAATGAAACAGAGCTAAAAATTACACAGCAATAATTCAGATTGTAAAATAGGAAAGTCTCTAAGACAAAGGACACCTCTGAGCAGGTATTGCACCCATCAACATTAGCAAGGAGAAAGGCAAACCACAGCTTACCTGGTCAGTATTTTCATCTCTAGGTATTCTTGTTAACAGTTACTCTTCCCTTTCTGGTGTAAGCCCCTCTCATCCCAGAGTACCCATAATCCATAATACACTTACTGAGTTTGATTTCCAACTTCCTCCAAAGCATAAGTCTCTCCTCAGTTGATGAGCATCTGAGTGGACATCTGTAAGCTTCCTAGTTCCGTGGAAACCATAAATTTATATGGACAATATCATCATTTGTGATGAGAATATCTGATTGAAACCAACTATGTGATATTGAGTAAGTCATTTCCCCTTTCTGCCTTAATTTCTTCACTTACAAAATGAGCAGTAAACTAACAGAACTTCAAGTTCAATTTTTTTATCTTTAAATTCTACAGAATTAGACAGAAGTTCTGTAAAACATAAATATGCTTTAAATATATTTTAAAATTATTTTTTCCTCTAAAATCTGCTATCCTATATAAAAAGCCACTAGAGGGGAGTAAAACATTAGATGAGGACATACCACAATTCAACTTGGGTATCTTGTATAAACTGTATTTGCAACTGTTGCCTAATGTGTGTTGTTTCAAATCAATCATATTTGATTGCTTTAAATTACAAAGATGTGAGGGCATCACCATTTCCGTGTGGAAATCTTCTGCTTTGTGGAATACAGCCTTAAGCCTTATACTCTCTAAAGTCACTGGCTAATGGAACAAGATCAGTTCCTTATAACAAGCATGCCCATCCCATTTCTAGTTTTCTATTTATTTACAACTGAGTTACAGCAACCAAAAAGATTCCCTAATCCTTAGTACAGAAGAGATGTTTTGTCCTGACAACTAATTCTTACTGAAAGGCAGGAGCAATGCCAGTATTCCCAGCCCTTGAGTAGTTAGTTCCATGTTGAAAGAGACCTCAGAACCTTGTCTGCGTTCCAAGTTCTTTGCACCCAAAGGCTGAAAGAAAGATTCCTTAGGTGGGATTTCTCTCACATTAAGATGATTAGAAACCCCTGGCCCAGTAGTTTAATACTTTTACTTTGAAGAAATACAATCTTAATATAATTTTCCCATCTTCTTCTCTTTCAAAGTTAGGTTTTAAAAGGAGGTCTGAGCCTCTGGTTCTTATTCACAGGGAACCAGCCTCAGAGGAAAGGAAGGAGAAACAGAAGCAGAAACAGCAAGATGGTGCCCTAGTGGGGCTCCACTGGAAAATCAGGCAGAGGACCAGGAATTTCCATTCTTCTTCTTTGAATTCTACTTCAGGGGTGGGAGGTGTCTTAATTTCTTAGTTTCCCAGTAGTTGTAGAGAGAGCATTAATTTTGGAGTCAGTTGGACAGATCCTAGGTTGATGAACTGACTTCTGTGTGACCTGGAGCTATTTACATAACCTTTTCTGCACAATATGTGAAGCAGGACTCTTGGTTACAATGAACATTAATCAAATTCAAATTAGGCTTTCTATATAGACAATGTCATCAGGTCTCTCTCTCTCTCTCTCTCTCTCTCTCTCTCTTTCCCCTTCTTTTTCTCTCCCTCTGTTTTTCTCTATATTTTGATTCTAGAATCCCTGAATTTCATTCTAATAGCATACTGCCTACTTTATTTGGCCAATGGAAGAGGATCTAAAAAAATGACATCCACCCCTGAAAGAGTCTTTCTTTCAATAGCTATATATACAATCCTAGAGACAGGCTGATTGCCTAGCTTGAGTCTTGTGCCCATCTCTGTGCTAACTCATGTCCCTAAAATTAATCAATACATTAATCATGTAGCCACTAAGATTAATGACTAGGGTTGCCAGATAAAATAAAGGATTCCTTACTAAATCTGAATATTAGATGAACAAATAATTTTTTTAACATAAGTCCCATGTAATTTCGGACATCCTATCTAATAAAGATGAATATGCTAATTGACCCTCACACCATTGCAAAGATGGCGGCGCCCACAGCCAATAAGGAGGGAATATGCTAATTGACTGCCCTGCCCTCAAAGATGGTGGCGCCCATAGCCAATAAGGAGGGGATATGCTAATTGACTACCACGCCCTCAAAGAGGGCAGCGCCCTCAGCCACAAGATGGCCAGCAGGGGAGGGCAGTTGTGGGTGACCAGGCCAGCAGGGGAGGGCAGTTGGGGGCAGCCGGGCTGGCAGGGGAGGGAAGTTGGGGGCAACCGGGCTGGCAAGGGAGGGCAGTTGGGGGTGATCAGGCTGGCAGGGGAGTGGTTAGGGGGTGATCAGGCAGGCAGGCAAGCGGTTGGGAGCCAGCAGTCCCGGATTGTGAGAGGGATGTCCCCCAAGGGGTCCCAGATTGGAGAGGGTGCAGGCTGGGCTGAGGGACAACACCTCAGCAGTGCATAAATTTCATGCACTGGGCCTCTAGTACTTATACTAAAGGGGTATTTGTTGTTTACCAGAAATTCACATTTAAATTCTAATAGTCCCATGTGTTATTTAGGGCATTCTTATCTGACCTGCATGTGAGCTAATGTAGGACTGTTTAGGAGCTCACATGTATGTCAAATAAGTTTCTGCTTGACATTCTGATGCCTACATGGTTTGTACCCCATCCACAGAACACCGCCAACATCTTGGGATCTACACTTCCTTTGCATATTGTTCGAGAGAGCAGTTGAGTGTGCTATCTTGTACTGCTGATGCTTGAAGAGGCTTCTGTGAACCAGTTTTCAGTGATTACATATAACTGCACAGTCCCCACTAGAAGGTCACCCCACACTTCAGTTATAAATATCTGTAGAGGACCACCCCATGCTTATAAGTGACTGATCTTTTTTATCCAGTTTTCACTATTTTCAGGTTCTCATTATTTTGTAGCATTAGAAAAGTATGACAATCTGTTGTTCATATGCTTGCTTTAATTTGTTCATGTAACAGCAAGGTACAGAACAGTAGGTATAACCAGCTACCACTTAGAATAGAGGCTATTTACATACACATCCCTGTGTACATAGACTCGGAGTAATCGATTCTGCTTCAAAGATGGAGGAAGAGGGGCCTGGGAATCAGAGCTGAGAAGGAGGCTTTTCACTGTACATCTTCTTGCAATGTTAAACTTAACATCTATAAGTCTAGCTTACCATTCATGTTTAACTTACCATTAATAATTTTTAAAACAATATAAACTCAGTTATGAACAATTTTCACGTATAGATCGATCATTCTGTCTACTGCACCTACAACACAACTCTGCACAGAGCAGCCAGCCACTGCCGTCCTCACCTCCTTCCTAAGCCTTTCCAGAGCCCAGCCAGCTGGGACCTCAGTGAGATACTCCACTTGCCCCTATTTCTCCTCAGCAAGCACGTGACTGTGCCCGTTAACTGCATGGGCTCTAGTGACCACGCTCACCATTGGTACAACCACCTATGCATTGTGGGGAAAGGAGAAAACCCAATAAAACATAGAACCAACATTTCCCAACTAACATTAATGAAAACTCCAGAGCAAAATGAATACATTTGAATCCATTTATATGCTTAAGATGTGAATCTTGATTAAGAAAACAAAACCACACCCACCACGAGGAGGCAGTACATATGAGATACAGCATGGAGGGGGCTCTCTTTCTCTTTTTTTCACCAATAGAAACTCACATATATGTTTGGCCTTAAACAATAATCTGTAGTCTCTAGAATTGTGGCAATAGAGGGGAACCCACATCCACATCAACTTAGTGTTTTAAAAAACCCACAGCGAAGCTTTGTGTGATGACAAAGCCACGAATACAAATGAGAGATTTGCCAGCTGGAGCCACGGGGACAGGGCTCCTCGTGGTGAAGCTACTACGTGTCTTGAGAAAACAACCAGCATGTGTTGCAGGCCCAGTGGAATGTGTTTAATAAGTTGCACATTTGTCATTGTAGGTCAGTTCTTTGGATGCCAGAAGACATAACTTCTCGTTATATAATCAAGTATCTGTCCCTGCTGGAAAATGAGCGCTCAAGAACGTCCATCACTCGGCCGTTTCCAAAAGCCTTTCTCTGGCCAGTTGGGTGTTCCGCGTTCCTCATGGAGCCCATCATAGGGGAGGTTTTGAAAGCTATGTCTGGCCTTGGGCTTTGGCTCCTCTGCCACTCATCTTTGCACCTACTCGGGGAGACTGGCCTGGCCTCTCTATATAGGCTGATGGGAAGGGGGAGGAGAGCAGCAAGGTGGAAAGTCAGAGGATTACAGATTTTCAACTTGCAGGTTTCTATATATTTGGCCATAGATTTTGTCAGCTACGGCAACATCTTAATTACTCTGAAGGACTTATGATTCAAAAAATCTCATTTTTGAGATCTTTTTTCATCTTATAGTGCCCATACCCATATGTGTTTGGCTCTAAAATCTTTGAACCCTGGCCAATAGCTCAGTTGGATAGAATGTATCCCCCATATGCCAAGATTGCGAGTGCGATCTCCGGTAAGGGCACATACAAGAAACAATCAATGAATGCATAAATAAGTGGAAAAACAAATCAATGTTTCTCTTACTCTCTCTAAAAATTCAATTAAAAAATAAATAGCATAAAATGTTTGAAGAATTCTTCCCAGAACAACAAGACTTTTCATTTCTCCTAAGGAAACCTCTGGTTAATCTTACATATCTTGATTTGGAGCCAGTTCAGAATATCTTCTTTTGTCTGTTTTTGCTTCCGTTTGGGCAAATACATGTAAATAATTAGATATGCTCCAGAGAAAAGACCTTTGCGAGTAAACTTCCTACAGTATTTATTCAGGTGACTTGAAGAAGATAACTTGCTTCCAATAGGTAAGACATCGAGGAAGTGGGTCTCACCACCAATCTAGAAGTTACACATTTGTCATTATAGGTCAGTTCTCCTTCCCAGTGAGGAAGGACACACAGTTAGGAAGGAACATTTTCCAGAAGCCCTCCAGCCCTTCCCTTCTATCAGTGTCCCACAAAACTGAGTCCTATGCCCACCCCTAAACCAATCCTGGCAGCTGGAATTGGGGCCAGGACAGTGATTAGCTCATGCCAACCAGGAGTCAGCTCTGGAGGCGGGACTGAGTCATGAGGGAAGGAACAGACACCCCCGCCTCCCTGCTCTGCCAACAAGAAGTAGGTAATCATGCT